CCTATACAGTGCTCATGGGCCCAAGGCCTCCAAACCCCTCCTTGGGACATATCTGGGCCCTCTCCAAGGTGTTTCCAAATGAAAACATTCAGCTCAGAGTCTACGAAAATCATCAGAGGACAGGGCCAGCCTGACCTGTCTGTCCTGGCTACTTTTGACTGGGAGCAATCCTTGGATATAAAGAATTTGGTAGGCCAAATTCTAATTTTGGCCATGGTCCCTGGACAAGAAGGCTGGTTCTTTTCCATAGGAATGAAGGAACAGAGCCCTTCTGTTTCAGGGGCAGATGAGAGGTGACCACCAGAGGCCAAGGCCAGCCAGAGCTAGCAGGTTTTGTTTTGCAAGATGCCCTTGCATAGAGGAAATTATTTTAGGGAGAGTACCCGTTTTGGCAATGGGCATCTGAAAAGTCAGACAGCTCTTTTCCATAGGAAGGAAAGCACAGAGCCCCCGTGCTCCAGGAGCTGATGAGAGGCAGCCCTTGACATCCCAAGATCAGCCAGAGCTGTCAGGTGGCCCCTGGGAGGCCAAGCCAGCCAGAGCTGTTCCATGTTCCCTGGGTTCCATGGGGTCCCACAATGTCCCAATGGTCCCTTGCTTCCATGGGGCCCTGAGGTGTCATAATGCCCCCTTGGTGACACGAGGCCCTGAAGGTTGGAATGGTCTCCATGGTTCCATCAGGCCCCACAGAGCCACAATGGTCTCTGGGTCCATGGAGCCCCTCTGTGTCACCATGGCCCCTTGGTTCCATGGGCTCCAGTGGTGCCACAATGATCCCCTTGGTTGCATGGGCTCCAGTGGTGCCACAATGATCCCCTTGGTTCCCTGGGCTCCAGTGGTGCCACAATGATCCCTTGGTTCCATGGGCTCCAGTGGCGCCTCAATGATCCCCTTGGTTCCATGAGGTCCCCACAGTGTCCCAGGGATCTCCATGGGAAGGAAAGAACCCAGCCCCACTGTTGCAGGTGCAGCCACCAGAGGCCCAGGTCAGCCAGCCTTGACGATACTGGCAGATTTTGCCTGGGACCAACCCTTGGATATTCAGAATTTCAGAGGTGGAATCCCAATTTCAGACATGGACATTGGAGGAGAAGGATGGTTCTTTTCCATAGGAAGGAAAGCACAGAACACCGGTGGTGTCTCAGGGGCAGATGAAAGGCGGCCATCAGAGGCCAAGGCCAGCCAGACCTCTCTGTCCTGGCAGCTTTTGTCTGAAAGCAACCCTTGGATATCGGGAATTTGGGAGGTGGAACCCCAATTTCAGCCATTTCTGCATAGATAAGAAGGACGGTTCTTTTCCATAGGAAGGAAATCACCCAGCCCCAGTGTTCGGACAGCAGGGGAGAGGCACCCCCAGGAGGCCAAGGGCAGCCAGACCTGTCTGTCCTGGCAGCTTTCACCTGGGAGCAATCTTTGGAAGTATGGAGCTTTAAAGGTGGAATCCCAATTTTGGCCATGGTCAAGATGGATTGTTTTTCCAAAGGAAAGTAAAGCACAAAGTCCAAGTGTTTTGGAAGAAGATGAGAGGTGGCCACCCTCAGCAAGCCCTGTCTCTCCTGGCACCTTTTGTCTAGGGGCTTTCCTTGGACATTGGGCATTTTGGAGGTGGAATCTCAGTTTTGGCTGTGGGTGCCTGGACAGGAAGAAGAGTTCTTTTTATAAGGAAGGAAAGCACCCAGCCCCAGTGTTTCAGAGGCAGATGAGGGCCAGCCCTCAGGAAGCCAAAGCCAGCCAGACTTGTCACTCCTGGCAGCTTTTGTCTGGGAGCTATCCTTGGATATAGGGAATTCCAGAGGCAGTTGCCCAGTTTTGGCCATGAGTGCCTGGTTGAGATGGAGGGTTTTTTCCCACAAGAAATAAAAGCACATGGTCCCAGGGTTTCAAAGGCAGATGAGAGGTGGCCCCAGGTAGGCAAAGCAGACAGATCTGTCCCTCCTGGCAGATTTCATCTGGGAACAAGCTTTGCATATAAGGAAATTTGGAGAAGGAATCACAGTTTTGGCCATAGGGCCCTGGAGGAGGATCAGGACAGTTCTCTCCCATAGGAAAGAGAGCCCAGAGCCCCAGTGCTTCAGGGGCAGATGAGGAGCAGCCCTCCACATGCCAAGGTCAGCCAGACCTGTCCAGCAGCCCCCAGAAGGCCAAACCAGCCACACCTGCTCCCTGTGCCCTTGGTTCCATGGGGCCCCACAGTGTCCCAATGGTCTCCTTGATTCCAGGAGTCCCTGCAGTGTCACAGTGTTCTCCTTTCTTCTGCAGTGTCACAACGGCCCCTTGGTTCCATGAGTTTCTGGACTGTCAGCAATGGTTTCTTTGCTCCAGAGGGGCCTTGATGTGTCACAAGGGCTCCATGGCTGGGGTTTGTGTCTCACCCACGCTGGAACCCCAGCAGTTGGTAGCCATGTGCGTTTCTTTCTATAGAGCTTCTGTCTTCCTGTCTCTCTGCCTTCTCCTTCCAATGCTCTTGATATGGAACATTTTTTGATACCTCAACAACTGAAGTGATTAAACATTTCCAGGTACACCGGGCTGAGTTAATGAAGTCACTGCTATGGTGTTTTATGTTGAATTGGATGTTTTATTAAATCTTTTTCCAAAGTTTCTTGATTTTCTGTACTTTGCCAGTAAAATTTTGTGTCATTTTGACCTCTTGAGAATATATGGTTGGTGTTTCTCCTGTGCACCAAACTCCAGGAAAGGAACCCATGGTTACTGTGAGAAACGACTGCTGACTTTCAAAATTTTAAAAGGTTTATTCAACCTTAACAAAAATGACAAGCGAAGGACAAAATAAGGAAGAACAGGCCTGGGAGCTCCCCTCATGGCTGCCTACCATGTGCCTGACTCGTCCTCAAGATGGACACTTCGCCTTTGATACCCCGGGATTGCATCAGCCAACCCTGGCCCCTCCCACAGTCTGTCAGTCAACTCTTCTTTGCTGTTTATTGGTGGAGTCTGCTTTCCTGCAGCTTGATTGGCGGGTCAGGTGCTGTCCTGCCACGCCCCCTCCCCTAGGAACCAGTTTTTGTTCTCGCCTTCTTTCCACCTGTCCTGGATGGCTCAGGCTGTCTTATGGTAACAATAGGGAGGAAAGGGACTGTGGGGAGAACAGGGGACATCTAAACAACAGACTGCAATAACATAATCACACATCAATAAAGCTTCTCTTAATATTCATACAGTATCCATCCCTTAATTGTGAGAGCAAATCATCTCATTAGCCATCTATAACATAAAGGGACGTAAAACCACCGTTAAAAGGCTTGGTTCAACCTAAAATTACCCAAAGAGGCCTAAAATCCACCCATATGAGCCTAAAATCAGCCAAAGGCACCTAAAATCCAGTTTATCCTAGAATCACCCAAACAGGCCCAAACCCCACCCAAAGGGGCATATAACATCAAAAGGGATCTAAAATCCACCCTCAAACCCACCACATTTGGCCTAAAATCAGCACACAGGCCTAAGATCCACCCTAAAAGGCTTGAAATCACTGCAAGGGAGCTGAAATCCACCCTAAACCTGCCCAGTTTGGCCTAAAATCACCCAAATGGGACCTAAATTCTCTGGGACCAAGACCAAACCCAGCAGCAGAACCAGCACTAGCAGCAAGACTGAGACCGACACTGGAACTGAGATTGGCAGCACTACAGGACCGGCACCAGGACTAGGACCGAGACCCAGACCAGAACCTGCACCAGAACTGGCACTGGGACCAAGACTGGGACCAAGCCTGACACTGGGACCAGCACCAGGAGCGCTTTGGAACTGGGACTGGCACCGGCAGCGCTCCAGGACTGGGATCAGGACCGAGACTGGAACCCAGCACCTGCACCGGGACTGCTCTGGGACCGGGACCAGGACCGAGACTGGGAGCCCTCCAGGACTGAGACTGAGACCGTCACCGGAACCAGCACCGAGAGTGGCAGCGCTCTGGGACTGGGACTGAGATTGGCACTGGGAGGACCAAGACCAGCACCAGTAGCAGCACTGGGTCCAGAACCGCTCTGGGACCAAGACTGAGACCAGCACTGAAACCAGCACCAGCAACTGGTGCCAAGAATGGCACTGCTCTGGGACTGAGACAGGGACTGAGAACAGGACCGGCACCGCTCTGCGATTGAGATTGACATGAGAACCAGAATCAGCGCCAGGAGTGCTCCAGGACTGAGATGGAAACTGAGGCGGGCACCAGGACCAGGATCAGTGACAGGATCACTCTGAGACTGGCACCAGGATCGGAAATGGGATTGGAAATGGGATTGGAAATGGGATCCCTCCTGGACCTCTGCGTTCATTCCGGGGAGTTTTGGCTGCGTGGGATCCCCTTGGTTCACATTGATCTGGTGCAGCCATCCTGGTCCATATGGTCCAGTTTGTGTGATCTCAGTCTCTGCTCCTAATCCCTATGGTCCCAGCCTGTGAAATCCTGGTCCACATGATTCCAGTCTGTACAATCCCAACCCATACAATCCCAGTCTACAAAATGCCAGTCCACATGGTCCCAATCTGTGCAGTCCCAGTCTGCAGGATCCCAGTCCACATGATCCCAGTCTGTATGGTCCTGATCCATATGGTCCCAGTAGGTGCAGTCCCAGTCTGTGGGATCCCAGTCCATATGATCCCAGTCTGTATGGTCCTGCATGGCACACACTCCCAGGGTCTGGAATTCCAGTTCCCAGCCAGGAAAAGATGTTCCTGCCCTTGAAGGCAAAGCTCTTAAGAAGGGGCCGAAAGCCAAGTGGAGCAAGATCCTACAGTGACATTTCACTGCCAGCCTTCAGAACTTCACCCGTGGCTGTTGTAGCTCCTGCACTGGGAATTAAATCAGGGCAGGGTCTTTGGTGGCAGCTGCCCTGGCTCAAGGGAGACACTGAGAGAGAAACAGAGCAGGCAAAGAGAGGCAGGAGAGAAAGGAGGACACAAACACAATCAGCTGAGAAGGTGGCACTCTGCAAACGGAACTGCAATGGACTGAAAATGAATGGGACAGAAATCACTAACTCTGAAAGTTTTATTTGATATCAAATACATCCCACCCACCCAGCCTCACACAATCCCCACGCCACCGTACCAAATTTGGATCCCAATTCTCCCAGTCTCCTTCCAACCCCATCTCACCATGGCGGCTGTGGAATCAAGTGAGTCTGGCATGGGACTGAGTTTTTTTGAGGTGGCAACAAGCCATTATGAAGTGGGATTGAGCCCGTATGAATTAAAATTCAGTTGTTTTAAGTGGGATTCAGTTGTTTTGAGGTGACCCTCTTGGCTTTTGGAGTGCACAGAGATGAAGAACACTGCGCAAAATCCCCCCTGCCCAGAACCCACAAGTCCTCCAGAATATTTCCCCAAACCATCAATTCCCCCTTAAAAACCTCTGAAATTGTGGAACTTTAGACATCTTTGATCAATTTATTTCATTTAACCCTGTTTTGACTGTTTTTAAGGGATGAACATGGATCATGAGGAATATGGGCCACCAGGGCTATGCCCAAAGTGCCTTCTCCAGTGGAGGATGGAGCTGGAGCAGCACACGAAGCTCTTCCCGCACTCGGGGCACTCGCAGGGCTTCCCTTACTGGTGCCTCCGTTGGTGTCGGGTCAAATGAGAACTCTGTGAGAAGCTCTTCCCACACTGGGGACACTCGTAGGGCCTCTCCCCAGTGTGGATGCGCCGGTGTCTGATGAGGTGGGAATTGCGCTGGAATCCCTTCCCGCAGTCAGGGCATTGGAAGGGCCTCTCCTCTGTGTGAATCCGATAGTGCCGGAGGAGACTGGAGCTGCTCTGAAACCCCTTCTTGCATTTATCACACTCATAGGGCCTCTCCCCTGTGTGGATCTTTTGGTGGCAGAGCAGGTAGGAATGCTGGCTGAAGCTCTTCCCACATTCCCCACACTGGTAGGGCCGTTCCCCAGTGTGGATGTTCCGGTGCTGGATCAGGTTAGAGCTCTGTCTGAAGCTCTTCCCACACTCCCCACACTCATAGGGCCGTTCCCCAGTGTGGGTCCTTTGGTGGCGGATCAGGCTGGAGCACCGGCTGAAGCTCTTCCCACATTCCTCACACTCGTGGGGCCTCTCCCCAGTGTGGATGCGCTGGTGCCTGACAAGATGTGTGTTTCGCCTGAAGCCCTGCCCGCAGTCAGGGCAGCGGAAGGGCCTCTCCTCTGTGTGTGTGTGCTGGTGCAGGAGGAGATTGGAGCTGGTCTGAAACCTCTTCCTGCATTGATCACACTCATAGGGCCGTTCCCCAGTGTGGGTCCTTTGGTGCTTGATCAGGTCAGAGCTCCACTTGAAGCTCTTCCCACACTCCATGCATGTGTGGGGCTTCACCCCATCATGGAGCTGCTCATGGAGCACCAGCTCCGAGCTCTGGCTCCATCTCCGGCCGCCTTCCCGGCCCAGGCTGGCTCTTTCCCCCTCACATCCCCGCCATCTGCGTTTGCAGCCCCTCCTCGTGCGGCATTTCCAGGGCTTTTCCTCCGCGTTGGCTTCCTGCGCCATGGAGCCACTCAAAACGGCCTCTGCCACCAGGTTCTGCCGCGGGCATTTGTCCTCCCTGCTCTCCATGCTCAGCTCCTGCTCTGGGGGAGGAAGGACAAGGACAGCATGGGATTTGCCTCCGTGCCACAGGCAAGGGCAACGAGATCCCCCCAGGGCTGTGCTGCAGCCGAGGGCCGTGCTGGGCTGGGAGATGCAGCAGCACAGAGGAGAAAGGGACACTCATCGCCAGCTAGGGGCTGTGCACAAATCACAAACAGGATGGGACTGCTAGGAACGCGTCTTGAGCTGTTTTATTTTCCAGCATCAGTCTCATTACTTGGTTATGACAGTGGGAACATGCCAGCAGCTCACATCCCAGGTGGGAGACAAAGAACTTAATGTTAAAACTTACGTTAAAAGGGTTTTGACCAATCACACAAAGCAAAAGCATATTGACCATAGTTCTATCCGGTTAAAAAAATGCTTGCTTATTTCAAATACCTGCTTGTAAGCCTTAAAACACGATGCACAGAGCTCCATTATTAAGCTTGGAAATTCCTAATATCTTGCTAGATATACTTTTCTGCAGGTTAGGGAGTTAGTCTAGATAAGCATTAAGGCACAGACCATTGTTCTATTTCTCCTTACTTTCTCCTTCTTATATAATTTTTCTGCAGACCAATCTTACAGCTGCTGCAAAGCTCTAATCACAGTTCTACTGTCTCTGAGGCTTGTCTTTTGCAGCTTTACCCAAAATCCTCTGATTTTAAGGATTCCAGAGACACTGACTTCCTGCTCACCTGCCTCAGTGTCCTGGGGCATCTTCCTCTTCCTCGCAGCCTCCCAGGGTTTAGCAATGGGAAATCCTGGTTTGGGGATAACAAGGGATCAGCACGTTGATTCTGAAGGTCCCTCTGCCCAAGTCCATCTCTACAAGTCACCGGCCATCTGGGCTCCAGAAAAACCTCCCAAACACCAAGATTCAGCCCTGAAAAACCCTCCTAGGAGTTCCCCATCCCTGGTCCCTCCCCTTTGGTGTTTGGGGGTTCCCCCCTGTCCCAGCTGCTGGGGTCATGCTTGGATTGGGTGCCTGCCCTGCCCAGGCTGCTGGCAGTCCCAGCAATGCCAAAAGCTCCCCCCTCTTAGCTCTCCCCATTTCGGGATGCCGGGGCTGTTTGGGCTCCCGGGCTCCCTTCTCCCCTCATTCTCTGCTCTGCGCTGCAGCGGCTCCAAGGAGTCCCCCCTGCCCCTCTCCAGGCTCTTGAGGCTCCCGCCAATGGTGGCGCTCCCCCCTCTCTGGCCTCCCCACTTTGGCCTCCTGGGGGACACAGGGCTCTGCTCCTCCAGGCTGCCTCTGCCAGCAGCCGCCACCGCCACCCCCCGATGTCCCCCCGAGGGGCCTTTTCCGCTCAGCCTTGGACTTCTTCATTCTCCAAACATCCCCCCAAAAACCCAACTGGGAGCAACTGGGAGTGACTGGGAACATGCTGGAGAGAACTGGGCTACACTGGGACATACTGGGAGTGACTGGAACAAAAGTAAGGGTGAAAGAGAGCAACTGGAACCATGTGGAGCACAACTGGTTTATTCTGGCAGGGACTGGGAGCACACTGGGGCCATATTTTAATCATACTGGGAGGGACTGGACTAATACTGGGAGTATTTAAGAGCGACTGGGAACACACCCTGCACATACTGGGCCTAACTGGGAGCACGCTGGCAGCAAATGGCATCATACTGGGACTGACTGGGCTGATCTAGGAAGCAACTGGAGCCATGCTGGAGGCATGGGGGTCCCAGGCCCACCCTGAACCGAGGTCTGGGTGTTTCGGGGGGAGGGGGCACAGCAGGGGTTCCCCCTCCCCCCGTTTTTGGGGGGTCTCCCACGGTGCCCCCTCCCCAAAAAGCTCCAGGGGCCCCCTGAAGTGGCTCCTGTTCCACCGGCTGGTGCCCACTGTCATGGTTTGACACTGGCACAATGCTAGTACCCCCATGAGAATACCCTCTCCCTGGTTTCTGCTGTGAGATGGGACCAGGAATAAGCAAAGCAGGCTCCCACTTAGGAAAAAAAAATTATTAACTAAACTACAAGGGAAAGGAAAAAAAGAAAAAAGAAAAAAAGAAACACACAAGGAAAATGAAAACTTCACAAATACATCTCCTCCTCCTCCCCACCAAATTCCCAATACAATACATCCCCCAAATCATCGACTCTCAGTCCGGCACCACCCTTCAGAATACTCCATCCTCAGTTCATCAAGAGGAGAAGGAGTCCTTCTTGTGCCAATGGGGACCTCTTCCTTTCATGTCCAGCACTCTCACCACTGAACACGGACCAGAGCTGCTTCTAGGGTCGACTTTTAAGGATGCTTCGTCCCACTGCAAAAAGGCACAGTCTCAACTTTGGGACATCAGTCCCCCCATATTTCACCCCCTGGGGCCGAGGGGTACCAACACCGAACCCTCTTGGTTCTGAGGCATTGCCTCCCCCTAGAATGCAGTCTCTGTATCACAAGGAAACATGGCTCTGTCCATGGCTACACAAAGAGTCCAGCATAAGCTACTCCATCATCTCTTCCACCTGAATTCTTCTCTATTCTTTTCAGATCTCTCCCTTGCTCAGACCTCCAACTCTTACTCAGTTCCCTCTTCATCTTCTGCTCCATCCCCCTCCAGGAGAGGTCAATGCTCTGAAGAGTTTTCATTGTCCACAAAAGGGTTAAAAGCTCTTACAAGTGGCCGGACACATCAATTTCAAGATAACAGTCCTCGGCACCGGCACACTCTCTCTCTCTGAGCGGGGGGCTGCCTGGTACCTGGCTAAACAAACTCCTGGTGCTTCTCTCTCTCCTCCACCCTTGGGCCAGGCCTACCTCATGGCCATGTGGCTTCCCCGCCCCCCACCCAGCCGGGAACTGGGGGGGGGGGGGGGGGGGGGGGGGGGGGGGGGGCAAGACCCGAACTCTTTCCCGCCGGAAATCCAAAATAGCCTCCTAGGGGAGAGCCCTGCTTTTAACCCTGTGTTCTCAGAGGCGGATCCAATGTCCCAATGGCCACACAAGGTGCCAATATTAAAATCTGAGCACCCATTGGCCTGACCACAGCATCCCAGAAAACATATTTCCTGTCAAACCACCACACCCCCTGATCCAGGATGGCCCCTGGTGAGTCTGGGGGTTCTGGGGGGATTTTGGGGGGCTTTTTTTGAGATTTAGGGATTTTTGGGACATTTGGGGATCTTTGGAAGGGCTTGGGGGGGTTTGGGGGTGTTCTGGGGACTTTTTGGAATTTTGGGGCATTTTTGAGGCAATTTTTGGGAGGGTTTTGGGGGATTTGGGTGAGGCTTTTTTGAGTTTTGGGGGATTTTATTGGGAGTTTAGGAGGAATTATGGGGTTTTTGGAGATAATTATTTGGTTTTGGGGGATTACAGGATTTTGGGGCATTTATGGATTTGGGGAATTTGGATTTTGGGAGATTTTATTGGGGTTTAGGTGGGGTTTTGTTTTTTGGGGGGGGTTTATTGAAATTTTTGGGAGATTTTTTTTAACTTTGGTGAGTTCCACTGAGATTTTGTAGGATTCTGTGGTATTTTGGAGCATTTTATTCTGATTTTTAGGGGCTTTAGGGTACATTTTGTGGAATTTTGGGGGTCCTTGTGTGGTCTGGGAGGGCTCTGGGGTTGTCCCCAGGTGTGGGGAAGGGCTGAGAGGCACCAAAATCTCCTTAAAACCCCCAAGAGTCCCAATAAAACCTACGAAATCCCAACTGAAGATCACAAAATCCCATTAGAACACTCTAAAATCCCATTAAAAGTCCACAAAATGTCTTGAAATCCCAACAAATCCCCAAAATCCTAATTAAGCCCCACAAATCCCCCAAAAATGTCCCCAAAACCACATGAAACCCCATAAAATCCCACAGAAGACCAAAAGAAATCCTGGCAACACCCAAAGAAGACCACAAAACCCCTGCGAAACTCCACAAAAATCCCCAAAAACCCCCCAAAATTTTCGTTAAAAAACCCTGACCTCCAAAGAATCCCACTAAATGCCTCCAGAATTCCAAGAAAACCACCCCAAATCCCACAGAAATTCCAAAAAAATCCCCAAAAATTTAAGAGAATCCCAAAAAATCCTCACAAAATCCCAGTAATCCCACCAAAATTATAAAAAAACCCAAACCAAAACGAAAAAAGATTCAATGAACCCCCAAAAACCTCGAGAAACACACCCCCCCCAAATGCCAATAAACCCCCCCAACGTGTCAATAAAACCCCCCAAAATCCCTGAAAATTCTGCACCTCCCCAAAACCCAATCCTTCTCTCGGAAAACCCCAATAATCGCCCCTGAGCTCCCCACAAACTCCCGCAGCCCAAGAAAGCCCCAAATGCCCCAGCCCTGCCTGGCCCTCCCTGGTCCCTCCCAGTCCCGCCCAGGCCCGTCCGGGGCCGCAGCCAAAACTCCCCGGAGCGAGCGCGGAGGGCCCTGAGCGAGCCCAGAGCCCATCCCGGGCTCGGCCTCAGGCTCGGCCCCTCGGGGGAATTTTGGGCTGGCCTGGGCAGGGTTAGGGTGGGCTCGGATCCCTTGCGGGCATTCCCAGCCTTGCCGGGGGGATTTTAGGCCCCTTTGGCTGATTTGAGGCCGAATCTGGTGGGTTTGAGGGGAAGATTTTGGATCCCTTTGGACGATTTGAGGCCCACATGGGTGAATTTAATCCTGTGTGAGTGATTTTGAGTCCCTTTATTTGGTGATTTTGGGTTCATTTGAGTAGGTCTTCTGCTTCATTGTGTAATTTTAGGTCAAACCAAGTCATTTAGGATGATTTGAGGTCCTCTTCTGTTGGTTTCAGGCTGGTTTCGGTGATTTTATGTCAATTTAGGTGATTTTTGTTAAATCTGGATGGATTTTAGGCGCCTTCGGGAGATTTTAGGCCAAAGCAGGTACTTTCAGGGTGGATTTGAAACCCATTTTGGAGATTTAAGGGTGATTTTAGGCCATTTGAGGGAGGTGTCAACCAGTTTGGGCAATTTTAGTCCCCTTTGGTTGGATTTTAGACCCATTTGGATAATTTTAATCCTCTTTGACTGATTATAGGCCAAACTTGGTTGATGTAGGCTGAATTTGAGGCCCTTTTGGGTGACTTTAAACCAAACCAGGCCCTTTCAGGATCGCGCGTCCCCTTGGCCCCACCCCTTTCCCCTCACAGTTCCCTGCCCTTTCCCTGCCCCCTTTCCCCTCAAGGTTCAGCCTTCGGGAACAGGGGAGGAGGAGGAGGGAGGAAGGAAGAGGCCAAGTGGCCGCAACACAAGAGGAGAGGGAGAATCTCGTGGCCCGGGCACTCCCTGGAGTCGCCACAGCCCCGGGAGCATCGCCCCCCATCTCGTAAGTGCCTGGGCAGGGGGAGCTCGGCCCAAATATCCTGGGGGGTGCCTGGGTTTGGTTTTTTTTGGGGGGATGTTTGCAGCTGGCAGGGCTCCAAAGCCGAGCCGCAGATGGCCCTCGGGGGGACATCAGGGGTCCCCGGGAGGTGTTTTTGGGGGTCCCGGTGTGGGTGGCGGCAGAGCCCCAGCGGGGGGCGGGGGGATGCGGGTCCCCCCGCAGTGGGGGTTGGGCTTCCCAGCCGGGCCCTCCGAGCTCTGCCGGGGCCATGTGGGGACCGCTTGGGAGAGGCGGCCCCAGCGGGGGGACACCGGTTCTGGGGAGCCCCAGGAGTAGCTGCGGCTTCACCGAGCGGGAGCCCAGAGAGAGGAGAGCCCCAGAAGGGCAAAGCGGGGACCCCGAGAGGGGGGGACCCCTGGGATTGCCGGGACCCCGGCAATGGGGGGTGCTGGGGCTGGAGAGGCGGGATGGCCGGGAAAGGGGTTCA